GGCCCCGGGGTGTGGGGCGAGGGGCCGCACTGCGCAGGCGCCCGCCTGCACAGCTGGCGCGGACGCGGGGCACGCTGGGACTTGTAGTCCGCCCTGTGGCGTGCAGGCAGCGCCGAAGTCTAGGGGAGTTTGGGCACGGGTCAGGGCGAGCACCCGCAGCGCCCCTCTGCTTGAGCCCAGGGGATGGGCGCTGGGCCCCTCTCCACTGAAAGCCCATTTGTAAAACCCAGTGTTTCCAGTCCAAGGCATGCTGGTATTCATGGACATTTTTTTTTTGTCTAGAAGGCGTTTCCCATCCTCGCACCCACGGTAGCTCGTGGCCGTGGCAAAGTTCAGCGGCGCCACCTGTTCATTTGGGAAACACTGCGTTCAACCGGCTGCCTTCTGTGATGCTGCCCCAATGGTGTGTCATGCTGGAGCTGGGGCGCGCCCGAGGGCCGTGCGAGAGGCGTCAACGTCAAGGGTGGGAGCATGGCGGCAGCAAGTGGGGAGCTCCCGCAGGTGGCCGTGGTGCTGGCGGTGGTGAGGGGGTAGTAAGCACCAGCCAGCGGTTGGCGACCACCCGCAGATGCCGCCAGCAGTGTTGGTGGCGAGTGGCGACCACCCACAAGTGCTGCCGGCAGTATCAATGGTGCCTTTTTGTAGAGGGTGCACCACCATGCTCAGGGGGTTAATGTGCCCACACATGCACCTCCTACACGTCACCAGTGACAAGAGGCAATTTGGGTGGCCTGAAAGCTCCCCCAGCTAGGGTTGCCAACTCTGACGGAAGATTTTTTTTTTTCCAACATGACATAATGTAATTCATTGTACTGTTCAACCTGCTCGCAGTATCAATCTCCAGGATTGTTTTCAGTTGTCACCGGGAGATCGATGCTGATTCTGGTAGACTCCCGGGAGGGTTGGCAACCCTGCTTCCAACTCTGCAGTTGGTCCAGTAAAAGACATTGCCCAAAAAAGCCTTGCCTCTTATTCCTGGCCTGCAAGATGATCCTCTTTTTTGGGGGGAATAAAACAGCAAATCAATTGACTTTTCACTCTTTAGGCCGCCTGTTTACTTCCTGCATTTCACTGATGATGAATGCAGGCAAGTCCGCTTCAGCGCCTGCAGTTTCGTTTCAAAGAGGTTCTCCTGCACCAGCACAGGCCTGCACTATTTGGATTGCCAACCCTCATACAATCTTAGAAACATGGGCCAGGAAAGGACCTCAAGAGATCATCCAGTCCAACTTCAGGGGGTTTACTAACAGCAACATTTAATCCAGGAAATTTGCTGAAGGCTAACCAACCTGAGCCCTCCCCAAAGTCATGTCAGTGTATCTGAACATATCTACTGTGTGGGACAGGTGCCATGTGTTAGCACGATTCTGATCTCCCCTGCACCTGTGTATACCAGACACTAATGCCACAGAGGTCAAAGGAATGAAAAGAGCAGAAGCAAATTAATTTCATTCAATAGCCCCCTTGATTATCTGCATTAATTAAATCCTTCTGAGACAATCCCAACAAATAAAGAACTTGCCCTGAGATGTAAGCACTACTTTGTGTTTGTAGGTATGCTGATCCTACTCCAAGCCCAATCGTATTCCTAATGACCAGAAAAATTTGACTGTGAGTATTAAGACTAACAGACTTCTTAAAACATAGGCATTTTCTGATCTTGGGGGGAAAATTAACAATTGTATTTAAGAAATAATTAACCTGGCATTAGGAAAATGTTATGATAAATGTTTTTTCCACCTGATTAGAGAACAAAGCAGGAGAAGGAATTTAGAACTTTAAAATATATCGATAGGGTAGGTGTGAACAGGTTACACGTAGTCTTCCAAGATCTTTTTTAAATGTGAACCAGTACTCTGTCTTGGGATGACTTGAGGCATTGGGGTTAGTTCTTTGTGATACTAGTTCTGTGTCAAAGCAGCAGTGTGAGCATCAGAAGAGTTTGCACTCTGGATTTTCTCCTGCCTTAGTATTGGGCTGAGACTCCTGAAAAGGATTAGCTGCACACTGCTTGACCATTTCTGTTCAAGGCCTGTTGGAAAACTTACCTGCAAGGTCCCAGACATCTCTTGCAGCTGTGCAGAGTGGGAAATTTGGGATCTGAACAGGACATTGATGAAAGCAGAACAAGCAACATTATTTACTGCCCAAACCGCTTTTTCTGTCACAAAACAAATCCCTGCCAATAGCAACAGAACCTGAAGGCACTTGACCCCTCCCAGTATTGGGCTGTTAATCAATGGTAAATGATTTCTGGAAGGTGATTTTCAGAAGACTATTTAGGCTTAACCACACAGAGAACACAGATTGGGCTCTTAGTATGCATGTTTTAATATACTTTAAGGGGAAAAAAAGTATAGCTTTCGGAAGAGGTATAAAAGAAGTCTCACCAACCAACCAGGTTACAAACAGTGCGAGCCCGCTCTGTACCATCATCTTTAGAGTTATTCCAGCCCTGCTCTAGATGCTCTACTTCTATGGGGAAGAAGACAGTGTTGTTTCTCTGGCCTCTCTACTGCAGTGGGGAAGGTATGCACACACAACACATGCACACATACACATTGAAGTCTTAACAGCACAAATGCACCCACATGGTACCAAGGCATGAACCAGCTTGCATGAATGTCATATTTAACATTGGGAAAATATATGTCAGAAATGTTTTTTTTTTCTTTCCTCTCCCTCCCAGCTATGGAAAGATGTTCTTGAAGTGAGGCAAACACAAAGCACCTCTCCACAGCTCACCTCTATGTGCCTGGAGGGGCAGGAGGGTCTGTTTTCATTCCTCCTACACAGTTTGGACCTGCTCCAACCACTTGACTGCAAAATCCCTAGAAAGGCTGGAGGTTATATGTGGCTTATTCACCACCTCTGATTATTTCCCGTCTTACTTATGTAGAACAAGGTTGGAACAAAGTACATGTGGGGCCTGCTTTAAAATCTGTCTTTTCCTTCTATCTGTCATAAAGATCTTGGTGAAAGGAGAGGGGCAAAAGGCATAGGAGTGGTTCAAATGGAGCTGTGGAGGATGGCACTCCACAGCTGTGGAGTGCCATCCATTTACATGGCTGACCAAGCTACAGCGTTCAGTCCCACGGCGCATTGGCCAAGCTCTGCTCTTCCCTTGGGATGTCGTCTCTCCTTCCTCTCACATCAAAAGGAAGGGCCTGAGGGGAGCAGGTAGAAGTCAAGACCCTACAGCTGTTTCAAACAGCATTTGCTGTGGGCATATCCACATTGCTTCCACAGCACTCCTGAGAGCATGGCCTAGAAATGGACTGTCCACATGTGCCAAACCCAGACACGGGGAGAAGAAACCTTGCTGAGGACACCTCTGTGGCTGCATCTATCTGTAGACAGAGATAAAGAGGGCAGTTGTTTGAGATGAGGGGGCAAAGAAGGAAAGCGAGGGTGTTAAGACAGCTTCACCCTCTCATTTCCCTATGAAGAGCAGGAGGGCATGGGTAGGACACACTTCTCCACAGCACTCCACAGTGATGCACAAGCAGCACAGATGTGCTGGTTAGGGACATAGGGCAGGAAGAGATCCTTTGGCTCCTTGACTCCAGTCCCTTGATATTGCAGACAACCCCCACATTATCCCCTCATAAATGTATCAAGCTTCAATGTAAAACTAGCTAGGTTTTTGCCCCTTACCCCTTCCCGTTCCCTTCCCAATGTTCCTACTATGAGGCTGCTCCAGATCCTCACTGTTCTGATAATTAAAAGCCATTGTCTGAATTTCCAATCTAAATTTATCCATGACTCTTTTATCCCCATTTGTTCCAGAGCCAACCTCCAGCGGCTTCGGGAGCTTTTCTCCTTCCCTATTTTCCCCCCAGGGATGGCAATCCGCTCTGTTCCCAGGAAGAAGAGTACGCTGCCTAGGGCACTGTACCTCCTTCTTGTAGCTACTCCCACGGCCTCAGATGTTCATGCAGGGGAGAGAGGGAGGGTGGGCCTGTGGACTCCTTTTCTTCATCAATTATCTGCTTCATTTCATGTGATTAGGGCTGTCTTCTACTCACTCTGACACCAGTAGTACAGGATCAGGCCCCAGGCACATATACGCTCCCTCTTGGCAAAGGAAGGAAGGGACTGGCTTAATGTTTTCTGGGGAAAGAATGACCTGAGTCATGTGGGGAGATATTCAATTTTGGGAATAATAAAAGGTATAAACAGAGGAAAAACATTCAAAATCTTCAAATTGCTTCACAGGCTGTTTAAAAAAAAAAAAGGTGTTTTTCTCTCTGAACAGGTCAGAAAAACCTTAGAAGCCCTCATAAAACCACTTTTTTATGACCGCTGGATGCGAGGAGAAGCAGGGCCAGCAGCCATCTTTCATTTATGGGAAAAGAGGGGTTTATAAATGAAACGCTGAGACGGTGCTAAGTACAAAGGCACAAATGCATCACTGGAATAAAGAAAAAAGGGCAGCTTACCAGAGTGCTGGATTATGAGCTATTATAACTGATGAGTCATCCCCAGCGAGGGTGGGCTCCCAGGTCTACAGCCATCAAATGCTGCAGCAACACACCCAACTTTATCCTGCCTCCAGAAGAGAAGATTTCTGCCCTAAATACTATACATGTACAATGTCAGGATAAAGCTGCAAATGTTTTGGATGCCAGAAAGGTCTTTGTCTGTATTATCTACATGGAATATACCCCAAATGAGAGCCACTTGCCCCCCTTCCCTTCACACACTTTAATATAGAATTAACCCAATGAAGTCCATCTCTTCAAGCTAGATTGACATTTCAATTGAGTTTTGAGTCCTGCAAAATAATCCCCCAGCTCCCACGATGCAGGCTTTATTCTATATCGCTGGCCTATGCAACAGCATTTGCAGACAGACTGTGGCCATGTAATGTGCACAAAGTCTGTTTGCATAAGGAACGAGGCT